ATATGGCTATGAAACATGGTCATTCAACGAAGAAGACATGAGAAAGCTTTAGGTGTTTGACCACGTCGCCTTCATAGCACAGGTCATATTTCGTGGTATCACCACGCGAGTAATGCAGAAGTTGAAAGTATTGTTCTAGGGAGGAGAGGCAATTCAGCTGATGAGGCCGCGAAACTCCGTCGACTGAGATGGCTAGCTGGGATATGTGTTACGTATGCCTAACCACCGTCTGTCTTGTCACACAAAGTAGGTTCAGTCTGGAAAATAGCTCACGGTGGCCACACTAAAACATGGCATCAAGTTCTTGACTGTTCGTTTGAGCCATGTAGGACGATGCAGACTAGTCAGTTGAAGTTCGTGGGAGACTCTAGATGATATGGCTCAGAATCGATGTCAGTGGCGCAGATGCGTGTACACATTATCCTCATCTTAGCCGCTATACTCAATCTCATCACCTCATTCTTCTTTCCTCTCTTCATCTCCCATTTTATTGCCTTGTTACCTGACCTGCTGAGGAAGAAATAAAAGCTTGTGAGCAGTCGTGGAACCAGGTTGAAAAGACTACAGAGAGCAGAATGCAATGAAGGCGTGCTACTGAAGTCATATGTTCCACCAGTAACCCAAGGGAAAAATAATAATACTTGACCTGCTGATTTGAGATGTGGCAACTTGGACCGCTACATAGTAATGCCTGATTGTATATTGACCTTGATGACTACGTCTATAGAGAGGAATATACAGTGCAGATCAGAAACTTTCTACCTCACGATATTACAGACAGTTATGAAAAACTTTCTTAAAAATAAAAAACTGCTGAGACATATTTGATAGACGATAACTCTCATAACTTCTGAAGTGATAACATGTGATTTACACTTGAGTAAAGCGCAAAGGACAGTAGCAGAAGAACTACCATACATGTATTTCGGCTATCCTCTTCAGCTGCTGCTTGATAACCTATAGAATATAATCTACATTTATTATAAAGATTTTGATTGACCAAAATTGATGAATATCAACCTCATTCAACAACTATATCGAAGATGCCACACACCAAGTAATTCACAGCGGGTAGCTCAGTGGTGATGACTTTGAAGTGAAGACAGGAAGGAGTAAGATAAGGCTATCTACTATCACACATGATATTCTTCATTGCGCTCAACTGGACTGCATCATGCAACAAACAGTGAGGAGTGAGAAGAGGGGGATACGCTGGCTGCACCGCGGAAAAGAAACTAGAAGACTTGGATTTAGCCGATTACTTCTGTCTACTATCTTGTTGCGGCACAAACTTGAAGATCTACAGGCGAAAACTAACAAGTTCACAGAAGAGACAAGGTGAGGCAGCGAAGACGCGACCTCAACTGAATATAGAGAAGACAGAAGTGATGAAGATACCCAACCAACACCACCAACAACAACAACAACAACAAACTCCAATCACCTCCAATGGGAGAAACTTAAAGGAAGTAACCTCCTTCACCTATCTAGGAAGCACTGTTTCAACTACAGGCGGCAGTTGTGGCACAGACGAGCATGTCAAAGCCAGCCACGATCGCAAAGACACCAAGACAGGCCTACTTTCATCAAACTGAAACCAGTGTGAAGATCTTCTGCACTACACTCAGCATGTGGAACAACATCCAGATTTTCAGCACCAACTTCAGTCAAGTCACTGCTTCTGTGTGATGGTTCAGAGACTTAGCCCATCACGAACCGCATTTCCGACAAGCTACAGACATTCATCAACAACTGCCTACGCTGGCTCGCTACTGAAGACCAAATGACCAGAAAGAATAAGCAACAAGGAACTCACTCTGGGAACGAACCAACCAAGAACCTATCACCCAACAAATATGCAGTAGCAGGAAGTGGAGATGGATTGGGCATACATTGAGAAGGCCAACTGGGGACATCACGCGTCAGGCCAGTTGCTAGAGTGGAACCCGCATGGGAAACGACGAGTTGGACGTCCGAGTTGAGGCTGACATGGAGGAGGCGGTGTGATGAATAAATGAGAGCTTGTGAGCAATTGTGGAGCCAGGTTGAAAAGATTTCAGAGAAGAGAGTGCACTGGAGACGTGCTACTGAAGCCCTATGTTCTACTAGGTACCCAATGGACAAATAATAATGATAAATGGAGGGGAATTCATTGTGCACTAACTCCTATTTTGTGCTAGAAACCTTTTTTTTCACTATAAGTCAGCTAATTTTAGTTATATATGCAAATGAATCATTATAGCCTAGAATATGGACAATAAGCACATCAGATTTGTATTCTGTTGTTTAGTGGTTGATAGGATTGAATAGCGTGACTCATTGTGTGAGTGGATTGAGTATACACGAGACTGGGCAAGTATTTACGCGACTAATCGTGTGCAAGGTCATTGTTAAGACTGAATTGTAGAATCACGTGCTTAAGACAACTTAAACCAGACAAAGTTATCACAAAAAATCAAAAAGATTTGATGCTTGAAATATGCTTACTTAGCATATAGTCATACAATTATTTATGAGAATACCTATTGTTGAACATTAGGCGATTTATTATGATAACGGTGATCAAGAAATCCTATGACCTTTTAATTAATGTAATGTTTATCGCCTTTATTTAGCTAGGTTGATCAATATTTCACACTAACCATCTATGCATGATAATGATAGTAATAAACTTCAACAACTCCATTTCATACACATAATTATCTTTTTAACTCTTTATTCGATACTACACTTTCTGAAGAATGGATTGGATACAGTTAGTGGGTACTAATAGACTGACACAATTAATTAAATAATAAAAAAGTACTGATAACATTTAAGCTTTAGAAGACGTCAAAAAGTAAATACATGTATCTCCTTTTGACTGATTTTCAGCCGTCATCAAGGAACTCTAAACATTGATTCTTATCATCTCAAGGACCCCAACCAAGTGGCTTACATCTCTGTACATGGCCCAGAAAAACAGCCAGGAACTTCATACACTGGTAGCATGTGTTGGTTTGCTCACCCTAAGCCTTCTCCTAACTCACTCCTGTTCCTGCCATAATTCCACATTAACATAGGCGATGACTCGGCTTGCACAACACACGTTTAAGCCACCCCAGTCAATGAAGGTTCATAACCTCATCGACTGGGTTGTCTAGTAACCTTCATCTGATCTCGACATTGTCCACATAGTAGTCCCACCAAAGGTGAACGGTGCTGAGAAGACACCTATTACCAAAGACCTGTAATCGTATCTACTTTCAATGGTCATGTCTCAGCCGTGTAATAAGACAGATTGAACTACAGTGCAGCATACTCATACTTTAAAAGGTAGTCCGACATCTTGGCCGTGCCAGAGATCATGCAAGTGGCCAAACGGAATATTTACATCGAAGGTGAGATTTCGTCGGCAACCAACCCGTTTGAACTGATAGATCTTCCCAAGTAAGCAAAGTTGTCGATCTTCACTCTCTATCCTTAAACAAGGAGTCAGTGCAGACTAATCCTGAAGCATCTTATATTTGACATCAGGAAAACGCACCCTTAACATACTCAGATTTCTGCTTAAGGAATTCAGAAAACTTCGAATATTTTCAGCGTTTGCACCTCATGAGACTACACCATCCAATTCAACCAGGTGCCCCTTCTGGAGTAGGTCAATTCCTGTAAAGTCACAGATACCTAAGGTTACGTCGAACAGTACGTCTGTAACAAAGTTGAACGGAAATCACGACAGCGGACCTTCTTGTCGGATGCCAATGATTGCCGTTAATTCAGATGACAACACGGCTGTGTAAGTTCGATACTCCTTCCACAATCAAGTATAAGGAGAAACACCGTCTCATTTTGCTTCCGGTAACATCAAACCAATAACAGAAACAGATAGATCATATTGCTATAAGCCATTGTTTGAGGATTGTCACTCATTTCAGGAATATCTGTTTGGTTTGCATAAACTACGATCGAGATCTGATAGTATAGTATGGCAAATATTGGGCGCTGAGTAATCTAATTTCATATCTGATTGGATTCCAAACAAATGTGTTTGTGCCTTACTGGTCGCAAGAAACAGGGAGCAGTGAAGCTTCTGTGTACCCGATTAAAGGATGAGAACGTCAAGAATGCATTTAGGAAGGAGTTAGCTAAGCATTTATCTGAACGCAACAGTGATTTTCCATCCTGACAAGGCCTACCAGTAATATTCAGTTTACTGTATAGGCAGCGGTAAAGACTTTTGGTAGCCTACATTCGAATTTATTAAAAACCAGTGAATTCGTGCAACTACATCTGAACTGATTGTCGCCAGCAGAAGACTGATTTCAGCTGACTGAGAACACAATGAGGAACGAAAACAACTTAAACGCGAGTTCACTAAAAGTCTTCGCAATGATCACGAGCAACGAGGGCGAAAAGAATGGAGAAGGTAACAGGATTAGGTAATATTTGACACTTATTTAGGGAGATCAAAGACACTGGAAAGAAGAAAATGGTCAGTGAAGTTATTGCCGAAAATGATGAGATTTTAGAGAAGGCGACTAGCACCTAAATTGGCCTACAGCCATGCTTCAGTTGCCCGGCATCCAGCGTAAACCTTAAGTCGATCATGCATTACTTGCAGGCAAGCAAAAAGCAGCATAGTATCTGCTATAACTGTGACAGTTCAATTAACCGCACGTCATACCAAGTAGGTGTCAACAAGTAGAAAGGGAAATTACTGAAAATAATTTTAATCATATAAACAATAATAAAACCCCACACGGTGTATGGGAAAGATAAAGGGGATACAGATTTCCGAACTTTATGTTAAGACAAAGATTTTGAAGCTTTCCGGGCGTTGCAGTAATTTCTGGGCCATATTACCCAGGTGTACTATTAGTTTTTACATTTTAATTTCTCTGTACACACCTAAGAAAAAGCTTCCACCGTTCACCGAAATTAAAGCCAACAGTCAGAACATTTATGTAATAGCTTGAAAAATCTTAATTTTTTTCCAAATTAATCCCACTACAGCTAACTTGGAACGTTAATGTTAAATGGGGAAGGGTGGTGGTTGGCATGTGATAAACACCCCATAAGACGCAATGAATGATAGTCGACAACCTCCTGCATTACTTCATACGCTAGTTTCTGATCTTTTCAACTCCATATCGTAATTTCCTTGTTTATAAACTGTAGCAAGAACGTTTAGTAGGAGTGTTTACCGAAAAACCCAACATTTTGATGATGATTCAAATTGCTATAGTTACCTTAGCTTTTCTACATATCTGATTAGTTTGTTGCAATAACACGTTTTAAATCCTTGGAATATGCATCTTCATCCATTATTCTTAACTGCGTTAATTTGCTGTTTTCCAGAAATCATAAGACGTTAGCCTACTTTAATCGCCCTCACAATGAAGCTGGAGGTAAGACACCAGCATGAAGCCACATAATCTGCAACACCAGGTGAATCATTTGGTGTATACCACTTATGCAAAGTGACTAGTTGGTATCTTGTTCAAACTGGTGATCATACCTAAGAGGTAGGTCAGTTTTTGAATCTTTATAAACTCAGGTGACTGATGTGTTACGCATGTCTAGTCCCCCTCTGCTTCATTGTGCGGTGTTTACTGAAGTAGGTTCGGGCTAGAAAACAATTAAAGGATATCCTCCCTATGACTTTTGATTGCACTGCTTTGCTCTTATTTCGCTTTCATATTAATGTGCTGCTATGAAACGCAGTAACTTGCATTGTTAAACACAATTACCAGGTCCTTTTTCGACTGATCATATCTGATAATAACTAACCCAACTAATTTTCCACAGGGTTAAGTAGGATAATTCTCTCCTATGTATACGCGCTGTAATGCTAAGTATAGTGGCAAGATGTGATGCATCAGCTGGGGAGCACTACATTTTTAAGTAATAGGTCGAGGGTTGATATCCAACTGCACATGGGTAATCAGTCTAGCTGCATCATTAGCCACTACGTATAAGTGTGATTCACAGCCTAGTACATCAGTATGTATGGGGTCGTTGAGTCGCATAACCTGTTAGTTAAGAAAAAAACATCTGACTCAAGGTGATAACCCAGGGAGTGATATGAGTTCCTATACATTTTCATGCTGGCAGAAACACTACAAGGAACCAGAGTGAATAGACAGAAAAGCAGATAAACAAGCATAATGTGAGTGTGTACAATTCCTCACTGGACAGCCAGGAAAACTGTCACGCTAACCTATGCTACCTTAAAGAGTTCAGACTGACCTTGAGAATCTCCTGTCGTTAGCACACGTCATTCTGGCTTCCTACTAGTTTTATAACTCCAGTAAGGGTTATCCCCATAAACCCAACTTTTTTAGTACTAGACAGTTTCCTAATGCTTTTCAGACTCGATGCCTTCTTCCAACTTACATGAGCTATGGGTCGTATGTTTGCTCAGGATTGTAGTTAAGTTCGGAGCGTATGGAAAATATGCTTGTTTGTTAGGAATTCTAATGCCTACTGGACTAGTTGGAAAGACCTCACCAGTTCAAAGAGTAGTCTCCATAAGCATCTGCCGCTAAATGGCGTGGAGTGTAGCCCCATACAGAACACGGCACGTTCGGTATGCTAAGAACAAGAAAATAAGCTGTTATCGTTACACCTAGCCTTCATTCACTAGTGTAAAGATGCATAGGTCTGATACTCACCTTTTTGGGAAAAAATAACGATGTTACTTCCAGGTTCAGATCACATGATCTAGTTTATGATTTTGTTTCATCACTCAAGTGTATGACGTGAGAAATTACTGACGATTGGGAGTCATGCACTGAAAAACTGGTCGGTCGTTGCAGTGACCTGTTGAAGTTTACGATAAATAGCAGATCAGGTTGTAATGTGTAAGTCTTGCTCTTATCCGTTGGTCCACAAGTTATAAGGATAAAGTAAGGAAGCCTTGAGATTTATTTATTTCAATGGGTGGTGAAACATTTAGGTTTGAATGTAAAAAGGTTAGGAATACGTGTAGGACGCCATCCCCAGATGCCGTTGACATACTAACTGGAAAGGTTATCTTTTCAAATTTTGAGGTTTGATCGTATCTTCATACTATGCTATGAAAATCAGGACGAATTATAAGAATCAGACCTCACGAAACCTGAGTGCCTATCAGACTATTTTCGTGAGGCTTTCCCCAAGGATGTGAACGGTAAGACTGTAGTACTGTTACTACTGATGCCCAAAGCTGTCGCGAGGAAAAGTCTTTGGACGGCGTGGAAACCCTAAGTCAGTGTCTCTGTAGTCTACACCCCAGGTTACTGTCGTTACTTGCTAGTATTAACGAACCGCTAACAATATGATCCAGTGTCCCCTATATCAGTTACAGTTGCTTACGACTAGGAAGGTTCCATAATTATTACTGTTCAAATGATGCAACAGGCTATTAGTCTTACTAGTATTGTCGTTATTTGCGAAATTACTCGCCACCAATCGATAAGTCTTACTGAGGCACATGCATTTCAACGCAAGGGAAACGTGGCTCTCTGACAAAGTAATTTTCTAAGGAATCTCCTAGAAAAAGAACAAGGCCTAGGAACAATGTCAATGGGTGTAGCGTTTATTAAGTTCAGTAAGATATTTCATATTGGTTTGATGCAAAAGCCGAATGCATTACGCGTTGTGTGAACATGAATTAGGGACAGCTTACGCAAGAGCTAGAGTACGGGTGAATGGGATTCATTTGAAGTGAAACCGACAACTAGTAAAGTTCCTTGGAGTAATGCTTCAAGTCTTTTCTCATTTCCCGACATGAATGGATTATCATAAACACAAAGACCCCCATCTTTATTTTTTGACGTCAAGACCTGAAGGGTGATTTCCGATGATTAAGTCTGAATCAGTGTTTAGTGAATGGATTACATTTGCCTTGCAACAAGATGGGTCAAGGGTAACTGTAAACCCCAAGCTGAGAAGTTAGGGTCTCGGGTTCGTACCCCGCTCCGCCTACCAAAGTTTGGAGTCACAAAGTATCTCACTAGGCCTCACACAATATGGTCACATTGCCTACCACACGAATGTGCACAAGGTTGGTCAGTGAGTTTCGTCCGTTTTAGCTTGGAAATGATAGTTCATTAACATAGCTGAAGGTAACGCATTTCAAATGATGCCACTTTAGAGCCATCAAACGCCTAAAGAAAGCACCTTGAATAAGACGTTTATTCGGTGCTTCGAAAAAGTCAACACGAAAACCTGTCCAGAAAGTAAGTACCAAATAAGTGAGAGCTTTTTTAACTTTCCCCATAAGACTAAAAACGGTCAAGCCTTTATCTTCTGAAATGCGTTAAAAGGGAATCCTAAATTAACATTCTTAATCGGACTTAGGTGTTACCTCTAAACTTTTCATACCTTAAGGTTCTTAGACACCAATCAACTTCGAACGGGGTGCATACTCCACCATAGGAATCGAAAATGAGAACTCGCTACCAAAACAAGTGGTCACACCTCCTTCACTGAACGTGTTTGTAAGGAAATCGGATTTCCAAAGGGATAACTCCTGAGCTATAATATATCAACTGACCTACTATCATTATCATTACTGGGCTTATATTGAGAAACCTTAAAGTTATCACTACATTTTATCACCAACTAGCACAGTAACTTCGGGATGCAAGATAGAATATGCTGTCATGTTTGATACGGCATTATTATACCTTCGTCAAATGCTAGTGATAAGTATATAAATCTGCGAGTGTAGCACATAAAACTCCCATTGGACAGATATTCAGCCGTACAACACTCGGTGGTATGGTAGTTGTTTTTCCTGGTAGTATACAATAAAACAACATGCACTACAAAATGGCATGAACAGAATCCAAGGTTGATTTTATTCCTATTAATACCTTATATGAAACGATACGCCAGCACGAGTTAAGTCCCAGCAATAAGTGGAAACGCATTCAAGGGATTGACACAGTACAATGCAAATACGAATCATCTGTGTTCTCGTACTATACGTGCTGATATGAGATGCGACAACATAGACCATTACGAAGTTATGCCTGACCCTAGGTTAATCTTGTCTGCCTGTTACCTAGTCAATCACCTGAAGTCTCCAAATATAACACGACTTGTCTAACTAGAGTGCAATGAGATGGAAGGAATACGTTTCAAATATTGTGTCTGTGAGGTACTAGGGATGCATAAAGCCAAATGATTGCTGGAAATAAACCCAACTTAGTATGAGGTCGACTCCATATTAAGTCGGAGTTGAAATTTACTCACTAGATGTCAAACGCAAACTCTCATAGATGAACTATTCATGAAGCACAACAAACACCTGCTAGAAATAACAAAACGATGAGACAAAAACCTGGAACGTTCACTAGATAAGCAAAATCAGAAGATTGAAGTAATTCTACCTCAACTACATGAGTCTGTGCGACGTCACTGTTACATCAAATAACTAAGACATTTCACATATTAGTTAAGACAAAGGGTTTAAAACACCACAAGTTATCAAAGGGGATGATAGTATTAATTATGTGACATTTCTACTCAAAAATGGGAAACAACCATCTAAGACACGTTACCTCGGCTTCATCTGTGTAAGACTTAACCAAACGTCTTAAGCGCTAACTATTAATAACACCAACTAAGTTGAGATCCAGTGGGACATGGTTCACTAACAACTAATATTAAGCAGTTACTATTCTGCGAATGATCAGGTTGAAACATGAAGTACGCCCTAACGAACCATACATAGCAAAAACAGTAAATTCGAAGTAAGCAGTGGTAGAAAGTTGTGCGCTCATATCCATTAATCTAAATGAAAAGGAATGCAACACGCTAGCTATTACCTGATGCTTTTTCTCCTGATAAACCCATGATCAATCCTAGTGCACTATGCAGGGAATACAAAAGACAACTGTTGAATTGAACGAGATCATTTGATAAGAGACCCAATTAGATGAGTCATAAATGGAACACAGCTTTTGAAGCAGACAATATATAGACAGTTTAAAAGGGTTAATATTATTACAAGCAAACTTAGGGTATAAACATGGCACATTGCCTTTGGGAAGTAAACTTCGTTTACAATAAAACAGCTGCCCTTTGGGGGATTATTTGAAACAACACTTTCAATGAGGAAATATTCAACCTATTTACAAACAGATTAATCAGAATTAAGAAAATTCTCGCTTGAATGCCAGGCAAAAACTAAAGTTCCGAACATAAAATGTACAGACAATCACAGCTAGCAACTTCGCTGCCGTTAAAAGATGGACAAAATCATTAAAGATAACGCAGATGTAATAAACATCTACAGTGGATAGATGATCAAAATATCTTTAAAAGCATGTATACCCTTTGCGAAAACACTATACAAAGTTCATAGTAGCATACATATACCCACAAAGCATGTTATGAAGCCGCTGCCGAAATTGCACGTAACTAGTGAGCAGGAAAAACATGAGACAGAAACAGTTCACAAAGTTCCGATAGGTTGCATGTATAGTGCGAGATTCAGAAGCATACTGACTCACTCTTGAAAGACATAACCGGCATCCACACAGAAATGTAAGATAGATGAATACTTGAGGAATACAAGACTACGAACATACTTCGAGGAATTAGATAAACAAGGAAACATATTACGCAATTCCGTGCGAAATCTGCCAGATATAGCAGACAACTATGAGTGATCTTGAATATTATTCAGTAAAATGCAAAATAGAGCAGAATCACAGATTGCATTACGCACCAACGAAGGGAAGGATTAGGATAATATTAAAAACGGAAAAGGGAATGTACGTTAAAAACTAACATGAAAACAACCCTAAACATCAATTATAATTAGCCTTAATATTCGCTAAATCTTTGTAATCACTACCTAATCGACATGACCAGCGAGAGTAGCTACTTACCGACAATTGAAATGTAAACATAATTCAGAATATGGATGATGATATAAAGATGAATGTCGAGCTGCTACAAAATTAGTTGCATTATGATGCTTTCAACAGAGCAAAGATTCCAGACGACCAGCTAATTGAGCATATAAGTGAACTGCACTAGTTGTGAACACTGTGAAAGGAAATTGATTGGCACAATGTGATTGAATGCCGTCAAAATGTCCAATTAGCAGCATTGACTATGATGCACGCAAATGAAATATTCTGAATAATGAACAACAAACAGTCGATGGGAAAGGATAACAAGATGATTGGCTAAGAATTATACACATCTAGCAAGCCCTGCACACCTTGCTTGGATATACTGAAACACATTGAGATCTATCATTGATGCAGTAAGCCATTGAGTTTTCACTTTGAGGCATTATGCCACTCGAGGTTATAGTTATTTCCTCAAATCCTGAATCAGAACTACTGGCATCGAAAGCATCCAGACCAACTGGTGAACTGCTCATAGTGCCTGTGGGTGAACTGAGGCTCCGATGTTTAGAGACGTGTAGAGTGTAGCTTGGATCGTTAGCACATGTATTGAGTCCTGCTGCTGCCGTATTTGGTATTTGTGCCCCGTTGTTTACAGATTGTGCAACCAAATTAGAACCCGATCGCAAATCCATTTCAGAATCGTCTATAATGAAAGGAAAATTTGTTTTAGAAACAGAAAAGTTATAAGTAATCTTGAGAATGTAAGGATTCTTACCTGAAGACGTAGTAGCGATAGAACATTCGGAACAATTGCGATTCCGCTCCTTCCAACTTTGCAGTTTTAGTGAACGGCTACGTTTTTCTTCTAGCTTCTTCCTAAGCGCTTGACGTCGTTTAAGCAACTGAACACATCTCTGTTTTTCACTATCTTCGTAGCTTTCCAAGCACTGTTTTTTCTGCTTCAAAAGCTGCAAATTAGAAAGACATACATATGACGTATTCGAACGGTTGAGATAAAATAACAAACAAATTTATTCGCAACAAATTTAAGAATGCTATTAATTTGTTAACAGTACCTGTATTGTAGCTGTCGCCTTCTTCAGCACAGTTAACATAGTTATCCTTGGAACATCATTATCAAAATTTAAACGCTCCTTTAGCGTCTCCATACAAGTACGTAGATGGGCACGACTGAATCAACAAATTCTTGGTTTATGCTGTTTAGAAACTTACCGACTCTTCTCAAGTTCATTGTGCGTGCATCTGTATAAATATTAGGAATTTTCAATAAAAATAACTTACCTCACAGAAGTAACCGGTCGCCTTTGTGAGCCATAATTGTTAGAGTATGAATATGATATGTTCGTTTCTTCGTAGTTCCGCTGAGAATGTTTATGTTCCCACTTTTCCGAACTGTGAGGATAACGGTGCAACGATTCTAAAATAACTAGTCATTATATTTCCTCCTTCCTCACCTTCTTCATCAAGTTTTCTGGCTGCTTGCAAAAGTAATAAGAGACCATTCTTTGGTGGATGGCTTACGGACATGGACAGATTCCTGACAACGTTGCAGCAGCTACGAGCAGCACTTTACTACAAGTTCAGCATCAAATTTTCCACCGCTTAGGCCTAGGCTTATATAGCAAAAGCCTTATGTTTTCATTGGTTTATTGGATAGTTTTAAATAATCAATATGCCAACGTATCTGGTTTGTCAATGCATATAACATGACAAGATTTATTAACCAATCACAGTTTTACTTTGTAAAAGCTTTCTATGTTCTAACGAATGAAAATCGAGATATGTGGCTGAGTGAATAACGCTATTCGTTGTCTCCTTTTGTCAATCGAAAGGCAGGTTGATAAAAAGCATGACAGGCTAAAAGAGCAAAATCACGTGACCCATCATAATTGTAGGAATAATTTATGAATGATTTTGCTTAGGAAAGGATAAAATGGCTGATTTATTAAGAAACTGCCTATGCATGTTTATGAACACCTTAGGAATTCCAGTCACTTTAAATCTAAACGTGTTTGGTTAACTTACCAAGGCATACATGAGTTTCACCAATGAGTCTCATCTTTTTGTAAGCAAGCGTATTTAGTGTAGTAAAGTCCTATTAGTTAAGAGAAAAGTTCTTTCTTATTTATCACTATAAATTGTTTTTACATTGTGATACTTGCGAACTGTAGAGAGTCGTAGTTTTTGTTTGCCCAATTGAAATAAAACAATACCGTACTTTGTCGTACAGGTATCAGACAAATTGTTCATTTGTATAAGAAGTGAAAATAATCAGACCAATTTATGAATGAAGCAAGAAATATGAGTTCTGTTTAGAATCCTTCAGTTTTGCTCCCAGATATAACAGAATTTATTATATTCCACATCGAATGAGATAAATTAAATGTCATCTTAGAGGCATTCAACTTGATTCACAAGTAATGTTCGAAATCTAGGTAGTCTTACTTCTGTCGACCTATGTTACTGATCAGTAGAGTGTAGTATATGACTAGTAATTGGAATTATGCAAAGATTGTACTTATAATCGTTTATTTCTTTTCACAGAGAGGTTAAATGTGATCTTATTGGAAAGACTGAAACTCTGTAGTTTATTTTGCTGAGAAAGCTGTGGTTTATATAGCAAAATGCTCAAAAAATCTTCCTTTCATCTTTCAAACACATTGGGATTATACTGAAGAATATTCTTTGAATGATACAAAGTCATTATTAAGAACTTTTCCCATCTTTACCTGAGGTTCTGAATTCATTATTCTGTCCATAAACTCAAGGTTACTATATTTATGCTTGTAGTTGTCTAAGCAACCAGAGTGAACCCCAGTTCGGTTATAATGGGCAGTTCATTGGATATCGAAATTCACTTCATTTAACTTCAAAAACAAAGGAATTATGCTAGTTGGTTGGAGGTAGTTGGCCAGAACCTTTGGTTTTCTACTTATTGCCACTAATCAGAAAAGCGTATCTACAACAATAAGGGAAGTAATGTCTGCTGTGAAATTCAAACCCATGTTACTGAATGTTGTAGCTATTACCAGACATTACCACTGAGCTATTCATGTTGCATTTGACTTCAGAGTAACCAATATCATGTTGTCTAGTCTTCAGAGCTGATCTAATCCTACGGATCATTTTACGACGAAGTTATGAAGCAGTGCACTTTAAGCGGCAGGTTCAGTCATCCCTCCCAATTACCACCAACCAACCAACATCTATCAAAAGTTTACCATGATGCTGAAACTCTTAGTTTGATGGCCACATTGTAAAATGATCCATAGGATTCAGTCAGACCTCAGGACCAGACAATATGAGATTAGTTCCTCTCAAATGTTCAATATAAGTTAAATTATACAAAACGAATATATTAGATGAATGAATGAGAATACAAAACAACTTAAAAATAGAATCTGTGAAATCCTAAACGTTTTACAATAACTTTAACTGACGTTAGCTAGTTAAAGAACCACTATTCTTGTCTATCATTTCACTCTCCCCCCACCCCACCTCATCATCATCCATAGACATGCATACTTTAGTTTGTTGCAATATCAACTAGAAAATGGAAACAACTGAATAAAAGCGAATAAATATTCTTGTGTATAATACACTCGAGTTGATGTTGACGTTAATATTTAACACAACAAGTTTGTAAATGATCCAGTCGAACTCACTTGAAAGTATATTCCTGTTTTTGTTGATTTAAATTAAGAACAAATAGAAAGACTACTTTTGATAGAGTCAAACAAAAAAAGAGTCAAGTTTATTGAACATTGACAAATCTATAGCACTAATAAGACATACACAGTTATAGTAAATTCACTGAACAAATAAATTGTAAAGTGTTCTAGTTGACTTCAAATAACAGTCATTAGTATACATAATTTTTTTCATGTATGCGTTTTATTAAATAAAAATATTGATACAGAATGATAACTGAAGGTTAAACAAAAAATTTAAACCACGGTCATATTCAAACCAGTGACCAACGGATTTCAGGTCCCATACTCTACCAACTGAGCTATGAGGTCCAACTGATGACCACATTTTTATTTCACTTCAATTACCAAGTAGGGATTTGACCGACTACCATGAGAATTCGTGGCATATTACTACCACTTGATCGTATTCCCATTGGCTGCCAAGTCAGTCAATCTAAATCTAAATCAGAGGTGGGAGAGGATCATATCGTTTATTATTATTTTGACTATCTGAGATAGTACCCGAGGTTTGCTAGACTAGTGTTGATACTGAGTGATGACTGAAGGTGAGATGAAAATCTGATCGGCGGCCGGATTCGAACCAGCGACAATCGAGTTACTACTGACCTGGTGCTCTACCAACTGGGCTACGGGGCCCGACTGATGACCAGATTTTGACTTCACCTTCAATAACCAAAGGTTTTACCGGACTATGTATTATCAATAGAAGTTTGCCAAATCATGGCTATCTCAGATAGCCAATGGTATATAGTCTATGTTAAAGCTGTTCAATCGTTAGATCTAATCTAACTAACGACAATTTTGTCATGAAATTGTGTTACCCAATAACTTCTAGATCCACTGAATTGATTATTAGACTGCTGTAGAGAACAGTAGAAGTCTAGATCTCATCTAAACTTCCATAACAGATTGATATTAGTCGACGAGTTGATGAAAATCTAGTACCACTAAACAGATATTTCGTTCTATTATAGGACCAGTTAAAAGTGAACAACAACGACCCTGTAAGAGATCCAGGCTAGGTTTTCACTTGTAATAATAGAAACTGAACATTCTACTGATAGTTCGTGTTTAACTTACTTAAAAATGTGTCTCTAGTGAGTTTGAGGGATGTTTTCATAAGGAAAGCACTTGAGTATACGATACTAGACGTTAGAATAAAAAAATTCAACATTAATCTTCCAGTAGAATTGTCCAACAGAAATCATGACTGATTTGAAGAGTGTTTGAGTTGAAAATGGATATCAGAGAAGAATTTTTCTAATTCGGGATTACTTACTAGTGTGCATCCAAGACTGACAACGGGATCACATCCATATCTTCCAACGTCTAGTAATTCGCTGTTACGCTTGACCATTACCGAATATCTTTGTTGAGCATCTATTATTTGACTTAATTGACAAGACACGTCTGAACTTCAGGAAATCCATCGGAATTATATTCCACTTTACTCAGCTCTCAGCTGATTACTTTGAAGTCACTTTCACCACCTACCTTACAAGAGATTTCCTGAAATCCTAATGGAAAGTAAGAACTAATAGCTGCAGTGGATATTGGATGTCAGCTGGTACAGACAGACAGACAGACAGATAGACACACTAATTTCCACTTTGATTACTTTTTGAAAGTCATCAGGCATATACTTGAATATTTATTGAAGATTACTTTCATATGAATACAGATAACTGTATTAACTAGTAGGGATGTAGGGATGTTGAATGAGAAATTGGGGTAAGTGAGTGTAAAACGTGGCGACTATGGTAGAATGTGGTGTTTGTTTATTTGATGGAGAGCACACAGTGTGTGTGTGTGTGTGTGTGTGTGTGTGTGATACAGTTTTATTTACTTGACAACATTACATACATACATTATTGTTCATCATGATATCAATGGAATGACGCACTCCTTTCGATATCTGATTTTTATAGTTGTATCACGTCAGATTGCTTGTGTTTATTGGTATTAGAGTTTCCCATATGTGTGATGTAGTTGCTGCATCATTTCTATTGCATGTGATGGGTGTTGATTTCACGGACAATCTCTCTCTCTCTCTCTCCCAGTAATTATGGATGGTGGGTATCATTAGAATGGAGGATGCACATTTCGTGATATTTGGAACTGGTCGGGTGGATGAACCTGTCCCTCAGTGAGTGATGTTGTTTCCACTGAGATTTGAACTCAGGGCCGATCACTTCAAACACCTGAGCGTTATCCACTAGACCAGTGGATTACGATAGCGACTTCTTTTGAGATGGTTATAGTTTTAGTATTGTTGGTTGTATTGTGCGGTTGTTGATTGGAGCGAAATGATCGGTGTGTATTGGGATATGGGCTGCTTGGTGGATGCCTCGATATTGCCTGTCTTTCAAGTTATATATATATATAGTAATGATGGATAGTGGGTATCAGTGGAATCCAGGATGTGCATAGACACCGATCAATTCGGTCCAATCAACGACGGTATAATACAAACAACAATAATGTTCATCTCTCTCTCTCTTCATGTGATTAATTATATTGGAGTTAATTAGAGTGGTTTTATGGTACGCATTCTTCTATTGTGTGTTAGTGTGTTGATGCATGGATTGCAATAGCCGAGTCTCCTTCTAGATTATTGATCTTATTGGGGTTTGTCATTCTATATTTAGCTAGACTCCTATGTTGCGTTATTCTGATTGACTGTGACTGGCTAGTTTTAGCTATGTAGTTGACGTGATAGGGGTGGGGTAACATGGAATTTGTTGGATTAGATTATTTTGTTGAATTGGATCAATCGGATGGATCATTGAGCCAGTTGAGAAAGCTAATCTCTGA